TTATGTTTGTTTTGTTTACTTTACCTAACACCTGTCACGAAAAATGTTAGCATTCTCGGAAAGAGTGGATAAAATTACATTGAAAGTGATTTTGTCTGATAATCATTTTCGTGATCGATACATCGAGAATACCGTGTGTACGAGTTTTCAGGCAATATTCTATTCCGCTGTAGACCTTTCAATTTGGCATGGAGGAGTCTTGTGCAATAATTGTCTATGTCGGGTAGCAGCATCGCAGTAGAAAAAAATGTTACGTTCAAATTTCCAATTTGGGATTCTTTTAGTGACTGGGCAGAAGACAAAAAAAAAGAAATAGCATCAAAACTAGGCAACACAGAAAGATAGAAAGAAACTGAGTTTATTTATCATCTTATCAGTGCAAGTGCAAGTACAAGTTTCCAGACCATTCTAATTTCAATCAAGAATGGTGAAAAGGAGAAGAAGGCATGGTCAAAATCTCCGTAGAACTTTTAAATTTGGCATGATCCATATCGGAATAGCAGCTATAACGAAACGCAAACGCAAAAAAAAATTCCTGAGACATAAAAATAGCTTGGAAACTAGGCGAGATAGCAAGAGAATTCTTTTTCGTGTTCAGCACTTCGACTTCGACACGTCTAATACCCTGTGTTTAAAGGCTATTCTGATTTTCATTAGGAATACGCCTCGAATTATTGGAAGGAACTACGAAGGGGTTGACCTGTTCTTTTTTTCAGACCTATAAGAATCAACTATGTCGTAGAGCCTTCAAATTTGGTATACGGGGTCTTCAAGGGATACCCTATAGTACGGGGTAGAGGCACAGCCCACTAGCTCCAGTAGGAAAAAAGTTGCAATTTTTTACCTGTTTCCCTTTCTTTGATTCCATGCGATACCTTGAATATGAATTGTCTGGATTCCATGGGAAAAACTGAATTTTTGGAGGAACTGAATCAATTCACGTATTTGGCCCACGAAAAAAGTTCTTTGCCATAATTTCAATTCGAAATTTTTCTTCTCATATTCCAATGCAAATATCTTGTCAGGAACTTAGTGAGATAGAAACGAACAGACCTCAGATTCTTATTCAGCACATCGAGAACACCCTGTATACAGTTTTCAGCCTGATCTAGCGCCTTGAAAAATGTGCAAAATGTTCAAAGGGGTTATTCTTGTTTCTTTTTCAGATCCAAAAATCAACTTTATCGTAGGGCCTTCAAATTTGGTATACAGGGTCCTCAAGAAGAGATGTCCTAGTGCGTAGTAGAGGCACAGCCCATTAGCTTCAATAGGAAAAAAGTTGCAATTTTTTACCTGCCTACAATTCCTTGCAGTACCTTCAATATAAATTGACTCGATCTAGTACAATAATTGACTGGAGATCGATGTCATGAGAACTAATGATTTTTTGGTGGAATTGAATCAATTCACGTATTTTGCACACGAAACAAATAGTTTGCCATAATTTTGAACTACTTATTTCATATTCAAATGCAAATATCTCGCGAACTAAATGAGATAGTATCAAACATCAGACTTCAGATTCTTATTGAAACCATCGAGAACACCCTGTAGAAGAGTTTTCAGCCCAATGAAAAACCCTTGAAAAATATGAAAAATCATAGAAGGGGTTAACAACTACAACAAAATGTTCAAAGGGGTTATTCTTGTTGTTTCTTTTTCAAAAAGAAACATCAACTTTGTCGCAGGGCCTTCAAATTCGGTATACAGGGTCCTCAAGGGATGCCCTAGTGCGGAGTTGTAGCAGAGTCCTCTAGCTTCAACAGGAAAAAAGTTGCAAATATTTACCAGCTTTCCTTTTCTTGCGGTACCTGTAACTAGATTGACTGGAGATCGATTTCATCAGAGAACTACTGAATTCATGGCGGAACTGAATTAATTCACGTATTTTGCCAACTAAAAAAATTATTCGCCGCATAATCTCAGTGACATTTCGAAATTTCACTTTTAATATGCAAATACGAATAGGTATCTCGGAAATCAAGTGAGATATAATTAAACAGACTTCAGATTCTTCTTCAGCACATCGAGAACACCCTGTATACGATTTTCAGCCCTATCTGACTTTTGTTCGTTTTTCAGTCCCAAAAATCTACTCTATTGTCGAATAGGGCCTTCAAATTTGGTATACAGGGTCCTGAAGGGATGCCCTAGTGTGGAGTAGTAGCGCAGCTCTCTAGCTTCCAAATTTCTAGTCGAACGGCGAAAAGAAATTATTTGCTTTCGTTCGAAGCGACATGTTATCTTTTGTTTCAAATGCTTATATCTCGGAAACAGCACAAAAAACCTAACCTATAAGATTGTTGGAGACATATAAGACTGCCTCTTTAGTTTAACGTGAAATGGGGATTCTTCAGTGTAGCTGTCACTTAATTTCAAACAACAAATGGAAGGGCAATGCTAGTTCTCAGTTTCACGCTAAATTGAACTTGAAAATTGGTAAACCTTGCAGAATTCAAAACCAATGAACTCAATATAAATACCTTTAAAATATACCATATATATATATCATCCCTGCTACTGACATGACAAGAATATGAGAGCAAATATACAATCCAAACTTGATGATAAAACAGCACAAATGCTGCACAATGCACCAGATTAAACAGCGTAAAAATGGCATGCTCTGCAAAAATTGACGAGTGTAGACCATATACCTATGGTGTAGACATGAATTGCATGCATTGGCATTCTAGGTGAGTGTATACAGGGTTACTGGTAATTCGATACATTCCTTTGGAGTTGTGATAGGGAAGATGGCAAGGAGTAAATCAAACTCTAATATGCATTATGCAAAATTTGATGGTTTTTGAGATATTCAATTTCTCTTGTTTTTCTCCAAGAGGAACACTTCAAGGGTTTAAAACTTAGTTTACCGTGAATCTGCTCTACAGTTTTTCAAACTTTCAACTGGCTTACATGATCAACACTATGGGTCTTATGGTTGGAATGACAAAATTACACGAATAATTCAGATCACAGATAAACTGTAGAAACAACGTCCCAGGCAACCAGATGACGTTATAGTGACGTCACTAGTTGACGTCGCATTGACGTGATAATGACGTGAATAAGTCATAGCCCAATGACGTCATATTACTCACGTCGTATTGACGTAATTCAATCACCAAACTGTGACGTCCGAATGACGTCAAAATGCCGATTGAATTTGGCGATGATACGTAAAAAAGATTCCTTCAACATGGTGTGATTATCACCACCAGCCTCTGATGAAATTAGATAATAAAATATTGATTATGCATTGTTGAGTCTGCTCGGTGGGTCCCTCCTGTGACATATGTTCATTCAATCGCCTATTCAGCAGCGCCATCCTTCAGTACGCATCTCCAACAGAATGCAATCAGTTACTCGTTTGTATCAAAAATTATGTAGTTTGTGTCAGCGAGATGTAAGCAAACAAAGAATAGTTTGATAGCAATGGAAAGGATGTTGACGAATTTGGCTTCACTTTGTTGAATAATGTATATTGATGCATTCTTTGTCAACCAACAAAAATCTAAATGGTAAATTATTAAAAAATTTCCTGAATGACGAGGCTCACCAAATTGGTACGTCACATCGACGTGATTTTTAGACATCATAGATTCGGCACTGCAACGTCATAAGAGTAACGGTTTCAATATAGGTATACCTAAACAATCATTTTTAATATACATAGCTTGTTGGTTTCCGAGATACACACTGTGTCAAAGTTTTTTAGAAATTAGTTTTCCTACTACTTTTTGGGTATATTAATAATTAGAATAAAATTTGCATGTTGATTCGCTTTCATCAGTTATACTTCTGTTTCACATGATAATATATAAGTATCCATGGTTTAGAGAAGGTCTGGGAAAAATGGACGTCGACAGAACGTCCCTGCAACGTCTTGAAACTAACGTCTTCTTTTACCCATCTAAGTGACGTTCACTCGACGTCGAAACGATGACGTGATTATCACGTCATAGAAAGTACGTCATAGTGACGTCATAAATTGGTGTGTGACGTCTCTGACGAAAAATCACCAATTAGGGACGTCACAGTGACGTGATCATTCGTCATCTGGTTGCCTGGGGTCGTATTTTTGTTTGTGAATTGTGGAATTTAAACCACATTCTAGCGGTTATTTTTAGAAAAATCTCTGAGCTACATTTGTCAAAAATATTTTGAAACTTCCTTAAGGCAATAGCCTCTATCTAACTGGGTACAAATGAAACTAAATGTGCTCGATGGGGATATGTTATTCCGAAGGATTAGTATGAAACACACTTGAAAAATGCCTATCAGTATTTATTATCGGCAGTTTTTATTTTCGTTCATTTGCTCGAGGCATCCAAATAGCATAACAAATGTTCATAACCTCCATCATTGGGCCGAAGGAAACCCTTGTTTATTAACAAGGGAAACTAGTTTCCAACGTTAATGTGTTGATGGATCATTGACAGTTATTTAATAGGACCACATTTTTTCCTAGACAAATTTAAACAGGGGAATGTATGAAAATTTTTTACGGCATGATCTACAGGAGCTTCTTGAGGAAGTTTCAACAAATTTTTGACAAATGTGACTTAGAGACTTTTTCAGAAATAACCGCTTCAAAGTGTTGAAATCCACAATCAACAAACAAAAATACGACTTTGTATATACAATGTATCTATTATCTGAATAAATTCTGGATTTTTTTCATTCTAATCATAAGAGCATTGTGTTGATCATGTATTCTAGTTGGGAGGTTTAAAAAATGTACAGCAGACTTTCGGAAAACTAACTTTCAAACCCTGGAAGTCTACCTTTTGGAGATAAACATGAAAAATTTAATATCTCAAAAACTATAACCTCCATATTAGGTTTAAATTTACTCCCTACCACCTCCCCTATCACACCACCAAAGGAATGTATCGAATTACCAGTAACCCTGTATAATTATTCTGGGGCCCTCACGCATTGTCCATCCACCTGTTCTCCTCAAGTCAGTGGCCCTAACCCCTCCGTTCTTCTAGTGCCGCCAGGTGAACCCAACGGCCACGCGGGCCCCGAGCGACTCGTCCACTCCCTACCGGGCAGCCCCTCGGATCGTCGGCCCCAGCCCCCGCCCCCTTTCGAGGTGGTCGGCTCGGCCGAGAGCCTCGTCGGCCGTGTGCTGGCCGAGCAGGGCCTCGGCAAGTACTGCGACGAGGAGTTCGTACGCTACGCTTCCAGAGAGATGCAAGAGGCGCTCGAGATGACCAAGGAGGAGATGGACCGCGCCGCGCACCGCATCCTGCTCGGCAAAGGGGAGGGGCCAGGAGGCGGGTCGTAGCGCGCGCACCTTGCGCCGCGCTGCATGAGCGCCGCGCGCCCTCGTGCGCCACGTTTCAACGGGGCAGCGACCACCGCGCGCCTTCTAGCGTCACGCTTCGACAGAGCAGCGAAGACCGCGCGCCTTCGTGCGCCACTCTCCGACGGAGCAGCGAGGACCGCGCGCCTTCTAGCGTTACGCTTCGAGGGAGCCGTGAAGAAAGCGCGCCTATGTGGGCTACGCTTCGACGGAGCAGCGAGGACCACACGCCTTCGTGCGCTACGCTTAGAGAGAGACGCAGGAAGCGGTCGGCGGATCGTAGCGACCGCGCGCCTTTGTGCGTCACGCTCGAGGAAGATGCTCGGGCAAGGGGAAGTGGGAAGAGGAAGGGCAGGTTCGGGGAGTCGTAGCGGGCGGTGTTGCTAGAAAGTCGAGTGGTACCGGGAGGTTGTGGAATCGGGCTTTTTTCTGGATGGTTTCTTCGACAGATCGATCGATTGGGACAGTTTCGAAATTTGAGTGCTTGCTTCTGGAAACTCGGCGTATGTGGAATGCACGACAGCGCGTTCACATGCTAGTTTTCAGATTGCAGCGTATTTTCATCTCATTGCCCGATTTGTATCCAGTTTATTAATTATTCGACAGGACCACAGAAATATTGGAGGACTAGTGGTGGTCAAACAATAATTCGCCCTAACAAATAGAGATATTGAGGTATTCGATACAAGATTATGGAGAATAGTAGGTAGCAGTAGTGCACCTACGCCGCTCTTCTTCCAATCGACCCCTATCTCACCCATGCTTCATTCTTATCTGGAATTCCTGACGAATGTCAAAAAAACGTGAAAAAACGGCAAGAGACATCACAAAATGACAAAGTTTCAAAAATCCTGAAAAATGTGTTGATTTATGTCAGGGGCGTCATTCCGGTGAATACCAGGCGGAGTCAAGAAACTGGAGAAGAAAAAATTTGTGCAATGTGGAAAATGCGCCACTGGCGAAATTTCTTTCGGGTTTAAGGTCAAATAACTTTGATTTGAAAATAAGATTTCTTTCAGAGTGACATCAACTCCATTTCAACGTTTACCAGGAAGGGGGCCAAAAAACTCAAACGAAATTTTATACGGTGAAAATACGCCGCAGGCGAAAAAGCCGTTGGGATTTGTGGTCAAATGTCTTAGAATTGAAAATTAAATTTCTTTCAGACTGAAAACTCCATCACATTATATTATAACTTACATATGTTCTCAGTGTGCTGCAATTGATATAAAATGATCTGAAAATAGGTAATAGGAACAATAAGGGACGCATCAAAAAGAATTTTGGATACTCTGTCTGTGAGTTACACGAGCAGATGGATGTTCCCGAATTTTTTTTGGGGCATATGGAATACTGATCCATTCTTTCAATTTCGTAAAATATTCCCAGATTCATATTTTATCGTATCCGAATGAACCACTATCACGCATAACAGAAAATAAGTTATTATTCATTAGTTCATTGTAATTTTTACATGTTGGGAATTTTTGCTTCCTGATTCAGGTTTATTTTATGTATGATACCTACTATTATACTCAATGATGTTTTAACAATTTTGAAATATATGTTTGTTCAATTCAAGCAATGATAAAATATTGATGATGTATGTATATTTTGTGATTATACAGGAAGAATTCAAGCGGATTAAATGTTTCGTAGAAAATCTGTTGCCCCCCCCTAAATGACGCATGCGTGATGTTTTGACGCTGCTGTGACGTTTTCGTGTCGTTTTGCCACGATTTTTGACGTTTTATTAACGTTTTCTAGACGTTAGGCATGTGAAAATAAAGCATGAATGAGATAGGAATCGATTGGGATGAGAGAGCCATAGGTGCACTACTAGCAAAAAATCTGGTAAATAAGATTTCTATAGGATGTATACCTATTCAACCAAATGTCACTTTTCCAACATTTTCTATGAATACGCCCGTTGGCATGTGAAAGTTTCGAAAACAAGCACTCCATACTTCGAAACTGTCTCCTACCTCTCCATAATGAATATAAAAGGATGCGAACGGGAAAAAACGCGGAGAACGTGAATAAAACATCTCGAATGCGTGAAGCGACAAATGTGTGACGCAGTAAGACGTTACTTTGAAGTTTTTACACTTTTTTCACCTTTGCACTCTCGTATATTGTGCAAAGAGAGAGGAACTGAGATGATGAGAGAATCAGGATGGACATGAAAAAAGCTGGAAAACAGCATGAACATGTCTAGCTGCCAAATGGTCCGGTTTCAGCGGAAAAATAGCCGTGCTGGCAACACTGACAGCGACTCGCCGACGTTGCCAATTTTCCCGCCATACCCACCGCCACCCTACCAAGTGCCTAAATAATTTCTTCTGGTCCAAAGAAGACTTATAAATGATAAGGTGTAGTTTTTTAATCCGGGTTTTACCGAACGGGATTGTTTCTCCAGTTATATTATAAAAATCTTGTACAGGGTGTGAAAGTATGAACTGTAATTGCCACAATTTACGATTTTCTAATATCAAATGTGTCAAATAATAACAATAAATCCTAATTTTCATTTACCAGTGTTTATTATTCCTTATTAAGGACATCACTCTCGATAATTTTGAGATATTTTCACGCTGCAAAATCGAGGCAACACACTTTATGACTGTTTCTTTATGTAAGCATCTTCAGAAGGATATCAGAACTAATCTATGTATTGTGTGTATATCAGTACACTCCTACGGTAGAAGCGAATTTCACTTTTACACAATAACAAATCCTTATTCTCATTCACAAATCAATTTGAATTTTCTAATGAGAATGCTAACATAGCGAAACAGGCTCTGTTATCAAACAGCGCTAGACAAAATGGCGCTCGACAAAATAGCGTGGGACAAAAAAGCGCTAGGACATTTCACAGAGGGTCAAAATCGCGTGGTTTTAAACAGCGCCCAGACTTTTGGGAATGCGACAAAATAGCGACCAAAACGTCAGAACGAATTGTCACGTCACGATGAATCTTTCTCGTTCAAAAAAAGGAGGTGCTATTTTTATCCATGAAGGATACAGACACAGAAAAGACAAAGTACATCTCACTTCCACTACCTGGAGATGTACGGAGAAATATTGTAAAGGTAGATTGATAGTTAGCGGCGACTCAAAAAAACCGACAACGTCCCATAGTCATGGTCCGAATGATGCTAAAAACGAAGTTTTTGGAATTATGGAAAATGTTAAGAACATGGCAAGGACGACGGAAGATGGTCCGAGGAAAATTTTACAAGCCAGCACTAGCCAAGTATCGATGGAAGCATCAGTACTATTACCAAATTATGATGCTGCGAGAAAAACAATTCAAAGAGTGAGAAACAAGGAGCTTTTGGTTAACAGTGCATGCAACAGCATTCGTGATGTAACGATTGAAGAGAAATATAAACGAACAGAGAAAGGTGAAGAGTTTCTGTTGTGGGATTCAGGAACAGAAGATGTGAACAGAATTATTGTTTTCGCTACTTATGGAAATATCTTCCTTTTGAGTGAATTTAGAAACTGGTGTTTGGATGGCACTTTCAGTGTAGCACCGAAATATTTTTGCCAGTTATTCACTATTCACTCCATGATAGACGGAAAAGCTATTCCTCTAATATATGCTTTGCTGCCTAACAAACAACAATCAAGTTATGAGAGACTTTTCGGAAAACTACTAGAGATAGATCCAACGTTGAAACCAACTAGTGTAATCTGTGACTTCGAGAATGCGGTTCTCAACACAATAAATAATCAATTTCCTGATACCAAAATAGTAGGCTGCAATTTTCATTTTGCACAAAATCTATGGAAGCATATCCAATCTAATCAATTAACAAAGCTATACAAAGATGATGAGGAAATAAGGATCCAATGTAAAATGCTTTTAGCCTTGAGTTATGTTCCAGAACAAGACGTCCAGTTTGCATTCGAAGTTATCGTTGCCAGCTTTCCAGCGGTATTAAAGCCAATTATCGACTACTTCGAAGACAACTACGTTGGCCGTAGACTGCATGATATACCCCCAAGATTTCCGATTGAGATGTGGAACCTATACGAGAGAATCAACACTGACTTACCCAGGAGCAACAATTCGGTGGAAGCATGGCATAATTCATTTCAAAAAACTCCTCAATGCCACCATCCTTCGCATTCCAAGTTATTCGACAAAATCAGGAAGGAACAGAGCCACTTTGAAATATTCATCACGAGGTACCGCGCAGGATATAGGGCAAACGAAAAATCCAATTGCAAATATTTTCAATTGAGAAAGAGATTACAAGTACTGGTTGCCCAATACAGATTTGGTAGTGTTCTATACTTTTTACGTTGTATTGCGTACAATTTATCTTTGTAGTTAGGTTACTAGTCGATATTAATAGAGTTTTTTGGATTTGAATAAAGTTGAGCAAGTTTATTATTCACTACTGATTTTACTTTTCTATGAAGTGCGCTTCCATTATCAGTACGCCACTATTAGCACAAACACGGTATTATTATGACGCGCTATTTCAGTAGGCGCTATTATGTCGCGGCGCTGTTTTCTATTGGCGCTATTTTGTCACGCGCTATTTGTTCCGCGCTATTTTGTCTAGCGCTGTTTGATAACAGAGCCAGCGAAACACGTGACTACGAGTTGATATTGGTTTGGCCGTTTCTGCTTGCCAGGCCTCATCAGTTGCACTAGGCCAGCTGACAACCCCTTCACGACGGGCACTTCAATATATATTCAGAGCCATCTAGGGACAAAAGTGCAACAAATCACCAGAATCGTCCGATATCTATGGAACAGTAGGAATGAAATTAATCAAAATTTCTTCTTCTTACCACATCTATATTCATCTATGTTTTTCTATGTACAATTCGATAAAATATGAAATATATAATATTGCAATATGACACAAAGAAATAAATCAATAAATATAATTTCAAGATCTTTTCATGTATAAAAATGCATTGGAATGAGAGAAACAATAAATAGATAATATAAAAAACACAATATACAAAACAACATTACCGAAACAACACTAAGAAAACAAATATTAAAAATACGTTACAACAAAGAATACCTAAAATAATTTCACTTCTGGGTATTTCGAGTGTACAAGATAATTCGCCATATTTTGGCCCCCTACCAAGAATTTATCCAGTGAGTGTTTAGGGAAGAATTCAATAAGACCGTTTCATCCATATTTTCTTCAGAAACGGGACCAAAAAATAATTCCATTGATCAAATGATGACAATGGAGATTTTTTGTTAATTTCTGAGCTATTTAGATCATTTTCATGATCCAATATTTCAAAGAGTATGACAGCTAGACCCCTCTTTGTATTTTTAATTCATAAAGATAATATGTTAATGAAGATGTATAGTTGCAAAACTCTAAATGGTCCTTCAAGCCGGATCATGTAGGATTTTGCCAACAGAAATATCGGGCTGATTCCCACTTGATACAGCAAGTATAGTAGTTCAATATCGAAATTATAATTTTTTGATATTTTAGTCTGACATCGAAGGTTCGTTCTTTATTAATTTCACAATTTTATAACAAAATTCTATAGTATTCATCCCATCACTAACTGTGTACATGAAGGGTGAACAATATACACATAAAATTATACACGAACAATTATTTTTCAGTGAAATTTGAAGTGAATAAATGAAGAGAGCATACAGCTTGTGAATTGTTCTCATAATAACTTCAATAATGGAGCTAGGGGGTGTCAAAATATCGTGAATTAGCCTGTACTCATCAGCAGAAAGATCATTCTCAAATTGGATGAGAATGAACTATCAACAGAGTTCAGATGGCTCGTTTGAAGGTAGCTGCTTTCAACATTCGAAAAACCTTTTCAATTGAACAGTACCTCGACGATTCGATTCTACCATGGTTTTCTAAAACTTATAGAGACGAGGATAAAAAATCCCCAAAATAATTCAGAGAAATGTATATTGCACGTCCTCGATTAACCTAAAGTCTTCAGACTTCAGAAAGAAGCCTTTAACGCTCTCAAATGTTATTGGTACATGAAAACAGATAAGATACTAGATGACCATCGAAATAAAAAGCATGTGTTTGCAGGTATCCACAACTAGTTGTTTCGATACGACCAACTACAAAATCCACATTTTACAACAGATTGGAAATTGGTCGTGAAATATGGATTCTATAAGGGGTGTTCCGGTCTGTAGAGTAATAAGTCGAGTAGGTTCCATCGACTGAAAAGAATGATTTTTCGAATTGGTCGAAGCAATCCAGCAAACGAGGATTTCGTTTTCATATTGCACACACTGTATATATTTGTTCTGAAACTTTTGGCAAATGTACATCTTCAGTACAGTTATTGCAATAACCACGGGTGGTTAACCAATGTAAATATCTAAATAAAACTTTACTATATTATATAAATATATATGATTTTTTGTTATACAGATAGATTCAGAAAATGTATCGTTGTACGAACGAACCGATTTTCATTGTCTAAAATTGACTCTAAAAATAAAAAATACTAGATTCTCTCCGAGATTCTCTAAAATTGGTTTACTAAAAAAGCTCTCTGATTTTTAGTGAAAATAATATATTTTTTGCATTCCTAGAATGCAGTTAATCATTATTTTCGGGTACACAAAAAATCAGCGAGCCTTGTCAAAATAAGAAACACTTATTTCCAGAAAACGCACATCTAGAATCAAATTTGGACCATAAAAAGCGGGGCAGATATTTCTCATCTTTCGGATCGCATGAAAGGAAATCCCTGTTGAGTAATATTGCTCTTTCCACTTGTAGAACGATTCTTTCTAAATCTGTATTGTTCATCACAAGGCGATATACGATAAATATCAATGGCAATGAAACTGTTTCAATCCAACTTCATCTTGAGCAATGTATATTATGCACCAAAGTAATTTGCATTGCAATTCAAAGTGAGCAAAAACCTAAATATGGAATGAAAATGTTGGCAAAATGATCAGTTTCACCACTCAACAAACCGGTTTTTGAACGCCCCAACATTAGTTATCTGTTTTGATCTACATGATTTTTTCCGCAAATATTTTACGAATACTTGATTCGATTGTAACGATTTCATGATGAAAACATATGTAGGTCAGACTGGGACATTCATTGAAGCTAGGTTCAAAGAACATCTAACGAATCAAAGTGTGGCAGGTTGGGTGAACTGAAAGTAGGAGATGATACATTCATCCATCATCATAACACAAACAATTGAAGCTTGGAACAAGTTGATATTTTCGAAGAATTAAACACATATAAGCCTCGAGATATAGCAAGAGTTGTGTATACATATCTCTGTATAGTTTATGACAAACATTGATTACATGATTGCTATGCTTCTTGAAACTATAAACTTTCCAGTTCTCAATGGATGTGCTGTGACGTTGTTGATCCATCACATTTTGTATATCCAAGATGTTCTCTGAACCTAGAATCGATGGAACTTCTAGTTTGACCTATATAGTGTGACCCACTTAAGACTGTAGCACTTTTCATAAAATCTACAGTTTCTAACCGATCATAATTTTTTGTTTCAGTAGAAATTAAGGGTACCAAAAGATCTACATTTACAACAATTTGCGAAACATAATTCAGGGCATACTACGTTTTCTTCATTTGAAAATTGGGACATATGTAGATCAAAATAGATAATCCAATGATACAAGGTTCAAAGAACATCTCGCACACTCAGAATAAATAAATCGAGTAGAAAAGAACATACGTTCATTCACAATCAAATCGAATTGAAAAAACACATATCGAGTTAGTGAAAAATTTGGTTTGGTCAGTGGCTAAACTTATAAAAGCTCAAGTTATCAAGTTATCCGAACCATTTTTTTTTTCATTTTCCTTCTGCATTTCAATCCCGTTTTACAACAGAAAAAAAATTTAGAATAAGCCAATCTCACTTTGAACTCTACATGATAACTTGCGAATATAATCTCATCAGCGCTTGACGTGAACCTTGTTCGGTATAGTATTTGCATAGTCACTTGAGACGGCTAGATCAGAAGAGATCCGCCGCGCCGGCCGGTCCCTTTGAAAAGTACAAACGCACCGCGTGTAACCGGCGATGTTTTTGTGCTGAATTCGTCTCAAGTGACTTCACAAAGACTACACCTCAGGCGAGATTGACGTCCGAAAACAGCTCCCGGAAATTGAGACAAATTCAGAACGACACAAGTATTCGTGTAACGTTTGCTGAAAAACATATGTAGGTCAAACTAGATAGTATAATGATACTTACAAGGTTCAAAGATCATCTGGCACATTCAGAACGGATAAATCGTTCAAATTCAAATAAAATTGAAGAAACACGTGTCGAGTAAGTAAAAGCAAGTGGAAACTTTGATTCGGGTGGTGGCTAAACTTATGGATGCTCAAGTTATCCTGAAATCCATTCCAAATAGTCAGTTATCGGCATTTGAATACAGCTTCACGAAAGAGAAAAAATTGATAAAGTAGGCCAATCTCACTTTGAACTCTACACATAAACGTGTGAATATAATCTCATTAACGCTCGACGTGAACCTTGTCCTACAAAAACGTGGAAAGACCACTTTTGTGTGTATTTTATTTCATCTTTTTATTCACTTTCTTGTTATTTCATCGAATTCGTACTTTTTTCTCTGAATTCTGACATTTTTCCACCATACAGTGTGTCCCACTTACCATGCTCACCATGGGTATCTTTTTAACGGTGAGAGATACGAGGTCGGTTAAATGACACCAAATGTGGAGTTTGTCAAGGCCAACTATAATGTGAAAAAATATTTTGATAAAATCAATTCGTTTTTGTTTCATACGCAAAAAACAGATTTTGATCATTTTCATGTCTCCTCCGTAACTTCTTTATTCATGAAAATATTTTAATAGGAATTTCACATTCTCATGGCAATTTTTCAAAGTGATTTCGAAATAAATATGAAATTTAAACCAACTCTTTTAGAATTTGATATATCAGCACCAACTTTAGTTTTTCAAATGTAGGTCATAGCTCACTATGACTTAGTTACAAATAACTTTTTTTTCTCTTACAGATGATGTGTCGCAGTAATAGTTTTGTGTTGATAACAACGGAGTTATCGTCATTTATAGAAAACCAAAAAATTATTTGGAAGCCGCCATCTTGAATTTATGAATTTTTACAAAAAAATCATGATCTCCGACCTCAAAAACCCCCACTTACCAATTTTGAATGTAATCGGACCAAATCTTGTCCGCCATCTTGGAGCAGCCATTTTTCTTGATTTCAACAAAAATTCCATAACAAGATTTGGTCCGATTCCATTCAAAATTGGTGAGTGGGGGTTTTTGGGGTCGGAGATCATGATTTTTTTTGTAAAAATTTATAAATTCAAGATGGCGGCTTCCAAATAATTTTTTGGTTTTGTATAAATGACGATAACTCCGTTGTTATCAACACAAAACTATTACTGCGCCACATCATCTGTAAGAGAAAAAAAAGTTATTTGTAACTAAGTCATAGTGAGCTATGACCTACATTTGAAAAACTAAAGTTGGTGCTGATATCTCAAATTCTAAAAGAGTTGGTTTAAATTTCATATTTATTTCGAAATCACTCTGAAAAACTGCCATGAGAATGTGAAATTCCTATTAAAATATTTTCATGAATAAAGAAGTTACTGAGGAGACATGAAAATGATCAAAAACAGTTTTTTGCGTATAAAACAAAAACGAATAGATTTTATCAAAATATTTTTTCACATTATAGTTGGCCTTGACAAACTCCACATTTGGTGTCATTTAACCGACCTCGTATCTCTCACCGTTAAAAAGATACCCATGGTGAGCATGGTAAGTAGGACACACTGTATATGTAGAGAAAAGTCTGAATTCAGAGAAAAAGGTCTGGATTCAGAAAAAAGGTCTGAATTTAGAATAAAAAGTCTGAATTCAGACAGAAAGTCTGAATTCAGAAAAAAGTCTGAATTCAGAGAAAAGTATCTGAAGTCAGAGAAAAAAGTATGAATTCAGAAAAAAGTGTGAATTTACAGAAGAAAGTCTGAATCTCGAGAAACAAGTCGGAATTCAGAGGGCAAAGTCTGAATTGAAGACACGAGTGGATAAAGGGTCTATGTGACATTTTAATGAAAAATGAGATTTTTGGGTGGATAAAGGATTCAAGTGAGTAGAATGTTTTCCCTACTAATACCGTTCATCTATTGTACAAAATAAGAAAGTTATATATTGATGAAAGATCTATGTTCACCTATGTTCTATCATTGCCACTGGATGAAGGGTTCAAGTACATTGTATTGTATGAACATGAATCCTTCATCCATGATTATTCTATTTGTCGGGTACTTGAAACAAACTCTGTTTATTTGAAGGAGGAAGGATTCATGTACCTTTTTTGAGTTTTTTTTTTTACTGTATTATATACCAGTGTCAGATGTACTATGCAAAATTGTGTAATAAAGGTCTATTCAAACCAGCGATTATTTTTTTCATTCAACGCAATACAAAAAACTGCGGCATCAAAAACTTTGAACATCATTTGCTCCAAATTAATTTTGTGTGACTTGAACCCTTTATCCACTTGTGTCTTCAATTATGAAAGAAGTCAGAATTCAGAAAGAAGACTGAATTCAGAGAAATGTGTGATTTCAGAGAAAATAGTCTGAATTCAGAAATTCAAGTATGAATTCAGAGAAAAGAGTCTGAATTTAGAAAAAAAAGTCGAAACCAGAGAGAGAATTCTGAATTCAGATATAAAGTCTAAATTCAGTAAAAAAAAGTCTGAATTCAGAAAAAGAATTCTGAATTCAGAAAAAAAGTCTGAATCAAAGAAGTCTGAATTCAGAAAAACAAGTCTGAATTCAGAAGAAAGTCTGAATTCACAGAAAGAAGTCTGAATTCAGAAAGAGAAGTCTGAAATCAGAGAAAAGAGTCTGAAAAAAGAGATAAAATAAATCAGACACACACACACACAGTGGGCTCTCTACGCTTTCTACGTACCTCAGGCGAGATTGACGTTCGGCAACAGCTCCCGGATGTTCATGTAGTCCGAGTCGGAGTTGAAGAAGTCGACGAGCTCGTTGAACGACGGCCGATCCTCGGGTCTGCTCTCCCAGCATTGCCGAATCATCGCGAAGATGTGATCGGGACACTCCGCCGGCTGTTCGAGCCGCTCGCCGGCGTCGATCAGGGCGATCGCCTGAAACGACTCTCTATCAAAACTCGTTCCGTTTTCAGGGGGGCGTAGCAGGGCCTACTCTATCTCACCGGGCCGGAGCATCGCTTTCGTGACGTCACACTAGTAGGGACAAAATCAAGGCAGTGGCAATTGTCTCTCCCGATTCATTGATTTACCTCGGGAAAACGGTCACAGTTAGCGAAAAATATCAAGAGGTCAAATATGTACAAAAAAGAATTTTCCAGAAGATGAATCAAATTTCATTGATTTACGATCATTAATTTCAGAAATATGGCATATCAAAATTAATTGACGCCATTCAGAATTGTCCTTTTTCAAACAGCTACCAAAATTTCAATATTCAATTTACAGTAATGATTCAACCATGAAAAGATTTCGCATAGTATCTAGATTGACTGAGTTTTTTTTTAAATTCCCAAGGGCCAACAACAAACCGATATTTCAATTCAAGTAGAACGATGATTCAGGTGTTCATTACAGAATAGTTCAAAAAGTTCGGACGCCTCCCATGCTAATACTATTAACTGTGGATATATGCTGTCACTGACTTTTTTGTAGGAAATTTGATTGCCTACAAATCGGTATAATACACATCCACTTTATCTCGAAGGGTTTTAGCAGCGTTTATCTCTAAAGATGATCAGGACGCACTTTGATGACGTTCGAAATCCTATACTCGAGTGTGTTATTACACAAAAACGTTTATTCGGTATCAATTATTTTCTGCTGAAGAGTATAATATATTTGAATGATAACGTTAAATTCATAAAGAAAATTTGATTTGAATATATTTGTAAACTATCAAAATTAAAAAGAACAAAATATGTGGAGTTCATATGAACACAACCTAACAAAAATAATTGAACAAATATGTATCTCAACAATGAGAGATATAAAAATGAATATAACGACTTGAATAACAAAATACCCAAAACAACGATATATGAATAAATAAGCAAAAAAAACGTTGAATCCTTATACACACACAAAACCAAACAAAATAAACTGTATAAATGATCAACATAACAAAATAAAAAAAATTTATAGATATCACAAAATGAAATACACTAATAACAAAAAATATATATACATCATCTTAATCACAAACTAAATATTGAAATCTGAACTATATTTCATCTTGAAAGTTTAGTGATTTTTCTTTTTTATTTTTTTTTTATTTCGCAATAATTGTTCAACGGAATATTTGAAATGGTTTTAGAGAATGTTCTGCTGATTAAATCAAAAGACCCACAACTGCAACATCGATTCTCGGAATAATTGAAAAGGGAATTGATTTTAATTTCTGCTAAATTCTCCAAAACTCTATGTTGTGACTTACATTGTAGAAATATTGTTTCGAATTAGAATAAAATGAAATTACCAGTCCAAGGAATTATACCGCGAAATCGTAATACAGCGAAATTTGGGTAGGTATTCTTTACGCGCTCATTATATTTAATTTCTTTCGGACTCATTGTAGGTAACTCTACAATTTTTTCACTATTCAATTGATTCATTATCGTAGTTTGATATATTGAGTTAGTTTCATCTTATTCCAATTCCAAATTTGCAAAAAATAGTATTCTGTAGTACAACGTCCTGATTTTCAATAAAATGGAATTTCGTTACAACGCCATAACTCGGTATTGATTCATCCTATTGGATTCATTTTTTCACCAAAAGTTGAGGAATTTGTTGGGGATCATTTCGTCTCGATTGAGTGTGCTTCTAAAATTTATAATAAATGAGCTATAGCCTATCAATTACCAACATATCATTACGGACTGATGTGAAATCTCAACCTACTAGTGTGACGTCAGCGTCGAGAGAGAGGGGATAGACTACGGCCCGGTGAGATACAGTAGGCCCTGGGCGTAGCTACCGCCGTATCAATGATACGGGGCCGCCAGGCTGGGACTACGGCTTATGTGATCAAAAATTCTCAAAATGTTATCGACCATCTTACTGATACTGTTAGTAGGTATACAGGGTGTCCGTTTTTTGAGCTCCACCATGGGGATCTCAGTAATTATAAGAGATACGAGGTCGGTTGAATTAGGGCAAAGTTGCACATTTTCATGCTGAATATTTATCTGCAAGAAAATTTGATGTGCCATTTTTAGTGTTTGAATTATTGGATGAAAACGAAAATTTATAGTTTTCGTTTTTATTTTTTCAAGCGGAAATCAAAAAGCTTGGACGTTTCTGAGTGGGACATTCTTATGGCACTTTTTCACAAGAAATCTGAATCTGTCATTGTATTTTCCATGACGTTCTTGATGCCAAAGTTACAACACACAATTTCATTTGATGATCGAATCGAATGATCGAATCTTTCCTGTTGATCGAAATTGGGGAAAAAACAATTTTACGACGACGAGTGCTTTGGAAAGAACGCCAACAGTTTTGTTTAACAAGATGAATTCCGACAGTTTATTTGAATTTGGATTTGGAGCGTTCACATTTTCGTCAAGCTCAACTACTCAAAAACAATGGTTTTGAATTAGGAACGACGTAATGAGCTAGAAGTTTATTCTTTGCAAAATAAAAGAAAACGAAGTTATAAAATATGCTGGAATACTCCACCTTCCACTTCTAAAGAGAATTCTACGCGTTGAGATGTCCCGTCAGCTTATCTTAGTCCTGAAAGTGGTGATTATGGTTCTTCTCAGCTCATCAATATCGATCGGTACAGTTTTGAAAATCAAATCTTTCATAGTTCCCAATGAATAATAATCCAGCGGAGAGAGATCAGATGGCCGCGCTTGCCAACGTATGTCTGCGTTGTTGGAAATTAACTTGTCAGGGAATTGGGTATTATGTCTTTACCAAGTTTGTATATTTACTCATTGATTGTTCACTTTATTAATAAACAGGACACTTTAAAGACTAGAAAGGAGGTACACAGTCATAATACCCGACAGAAGGACGAAATCAATTTAGGTTTCTCCAAATTATCAATTGGACAGGAAAATCCCAATTAAATGGGAATATAATGCTACAATAAAATTTGCGCGATGAAGGAGTTCAGAGAATGTGAAACAACATTGCTCAAGAAATTTTTTGGTACAGAAATGCTATTACTCACTGCAGGAATTTCTGAATGATACCTCTCACTGAGATCATACACATTACAGATCATGAGAGTAGTAGGTACCTAGTCTAATTTGCATTATATGCTAGACCACACTGTACAGAATAAGATCTGTTATTTTAATTAGCAAATGATGAAATTATTTTTAAAGAATGTGACATTGTAAGTCCGGATTTTATTTTATTTTTACATTATTTTACCATACGAATCAGGTTCCTATTGTACCAATAAGTGAACTAGCTCATCTGTTTGTGACGTGTCCCATAATGTATTGTACTTACCTGTATTGTGACATTCAGTGGACAAAATAAAATTCTATTCTATTCTATTCTATCTGACAGACACTCGGCAACCCTTCTTGCGTTATGTGGATAAGCTCAAGAATTCAACAGTTCTGTCCGCATATTCAATTGAACTGTCAAAATTCAGTTTGTTGAACAAAACTGTTGGCGTTCCTTCCAAAGCACTCTTCGCATAAATGTTTTTTTCCCAATTTTGATTTACAGGAAAGATTTGATATCGTGTGATACATCAATGTAATCAGAAAAAAAACACTTTTCAAAAATGCAAAAATCCAATAACCATAAGAAATACCAGAGTTGAGTGTTGTCATTTTAGCATCAAGAAAGTCATGGAAAAAACGATGACAGATTCAGATTCCTTGTGAAAAAATGCCTTAGAATGTTCTAGTCAGAAACGTCTAGATCTTCTGATTTTCGCTGGAAAAAATAAAAACTAAAATTACAAATTTACATTTTCTTCAAATAATTGAAAAACTGAAAATGACACATCGAATTTTCTTGCAGATAAATGTTCAGCATGGGAATGAGCAACTTTGCCCTAATTTAATCAATCTCAGTTCTCTTATAATAACTGAGATCCCCATGGTGGAGCTCGAAAAACGGACACCCTGTATAGTTGGTGACATTAATGCTGGGAGTTTTCCAGAATTTGCATGAAGCAATCTCAGGCATTGATGTTGCCGACTGTATGGTAAACTTAATAAGCGGTAGCCCGAAAGTTGACAATACTGGATGTCTCAGATTTCCAGCGCCGCGCGTCAGCCACATACATCAGTATAACAGATTCATTTCTCAAACTAAACAAAGAAATCAGCGCCTCTGTGACCTAAGTAATACGTTCGAAAAAATAATAAGGGAAGCCGGAAAATTGTTTGCTAAATACAGTGGAGATATATCAGTTGACCTGTATGAACAGTTAATTGCTTTGAAAACATGCTTGAAATATGAAATTCAGAAAATTCGTTTCATTAAGTTTTTCAAAGGTTTCAACAGCATGCTTCCTATTTTTATCCCTTCTGGTTACCACTGCAACAGCTGAAAGAAGCTTTTCGATGAAAACTGATGAAAAAAATATTCAAGGACTTCAAAGCGACAGGAACGGTTATCAGACTTGTCATTACTGATGTCTATCGAGACAGTATCTGATTTTTCGCCATTGAGATTCATAAATAAAATAAATTGAGTGCTTACTTCAGATCCTTTCATTTCCCCGTATGGAGTAGCACCGAAAGCGTATATTTCCCATATGGTAACTCCGAAACTCCACACGTCGCTCTTATGCGAAAACTGTCCGTAGTTGTACGACTCCGGCGCGTACCACTTCAAGGGCCACTTTCCACCTGCCAAAGCTCTTCGAAAAGAAAACAAAAGACACATAAGAATCGACACTTCAATGGGCGGGTTCACTAGCTTACAAACAATAAATGGAAGAAGTTTTACGACCAACAAGCCGGCATTGAAATTGGTTGAGGCGCATGCGCAGTATGTATCAAGGTCAGCGCTGCATGTGTTTGATCTATGCTTTGAAGTCTTGTAAGTATTTAACAAGAGCTGGCTTCTCTGTAATCTAATGTTTGTGTTCAATGTATTGTGCACTCAGAGTAACTAGTTGAAAGTAATAATTTATTTTCCTTATTTCTTCTGCAAAGAGCACATCACATTATAAGGACCTCTATGGAACTGCTGCCAAATTGATAATTCAAGTGGATTTTTTGGATAAAACATCTTATTCAACTTGGCAGAAATAGCTTATGACCTAAATGTAAAAACTTCACAAACGATAAGATTTCCACAAAATTTATTAAACACACGATATGTTTCGCTAACACAGCAGCTTCGTCAGGTGATATACTGGTACAATGAAGTAAACTAACGTTGGCTTGCTTAACTTTTATATATCTTACCTTCCCAACCTGAAGGATTAGTTACCTGTGGACAGGTACGATAAACCTCCATTTTCGGAAATTAGGCACAATATCTACATTAAATTACGGTATACCGCATTAACTTGAAAGAGTTGATATCAAATACATATTATTACTTACTAAGAAAACAAATTCTTAAGTAAGTAATAATATGTATTTGATATCAACTCTTTCAAGTTAATCCGGTATACCGTAATTTAATGTAGATATTCTGCCTAATTTCCGAAAATGGAGGTTTATCGTACCTGTCCACAGGTAACTAATCCTTTAGGTTGGGAAGGTAAGATATATAAAAGTTAAGCAAGCCAACGTTAGTTTAGTTCATAGTACCAGTATATCACCTGACGAAGCTGCTGTGTTAGCGAAACATGTCGTGTGTTTAATAAATTTTGTGGAAATCTTATCGCTTGTGAAGTTTTTACATTTATCATGGATTTCCATCAAGTAACAGCCGAGTCAATTCAAAAAAAAAAAAAAAAAGCTCATGACCTAGCCTACCAACCTTCATAAGATAATATTGCAACCTTCATAAGATAATATTGCAGCCATTATAACATAATTGTGAGAAATTCACTACTGATGATAATTTTCAACTTATTAGTCATCAAACTATGAAAAGAAAGAAAAAACTCCAAGTCGGTCGACTACACTTTATATCAAAAATTACATTAGAAAGTGACAGGTTTCGGAACAACGGCCATCATCAGACTAAATAAGACCTGTTATGGGTCAGGAAAAACAAACAGTACCATTGACATTACAAAGAGTAACCTAATAAGTTTGTGATGTGCTGGATTCACTTCAGTTATTGTTGAGCTCCAGGGTGGCTCCTTATATTTTGACCCCCACCAACAGCTATACGAGGTGGAATAAAACTTCAAATATGAAAGTTGTAGGGTTTCATCTGTACTATCTGTTGGCACTCCTTAGGTAAACAAATGGGAATCACGAAATAAAAAAAAGAATCCATATCAGCTTATTTAAATTATTGAATATTTTCAACTTCTGTGAAAGATCTTTTGTTTTGTTCACAAATATATGCTGCTCTTGCTGCACTACTGAAATATTTGCAATATTTTGATAATCTAATCTTACTATCTCTACGTTATAACCTATTTTAATTGAAAAACTGATAAGAGATGTCAAAGAATGCCCGTTTTATTTTCATGGCATTTCTTTTGTGTCCACAGCAATCTGAATATTTGGGGCAACTTTGATTCAATGCTAAATAAGTAGAAAACTTCAACGAACTATATATATTTGTGAACAGGAGAAAAAGATCTTTCACTTGAGTTGAAAATGTACGTGGGATTCCATTTAGAAAAAACTGATTTGGACTTTCTATTTTGCTATTTGCATTTATTAATTTAAGGAGTGCTAGAAGATAGAGTACAGATGAAACCCTACAACTTCTATATTTCAAGTTTTTTTCCAGCTCGTATAGTTGAAGCTATGGGTAGGGGTCAAAATATACGGAGACCCTGTACATGAAAAAATAAAAAATATGAATTATCTTAAGATGAACGTCATGACACTGCAAAGTTTCGTAGTGGACGAAACAATGTCGGCTAAATGAGAGGGATCTAGCCATCGGTGAGCCTAGGCGTCGTACTTTGCTTTTGTTGATGAAAAGCGTCTTTGATATATTCAAAATATCAGATAACCCCACTAAGACGTTACAAAATTACGTATTAGTATGTTACAACACGTGAGAGTTAATATACACACATTTATGGAAATTCCGATTTATAACATAAATAAATAATATAAGATTCTAAATGGAGGCATCGTAGATAGACACAATTTCAACACTCAAACACATTTTTATTCACTCAGGACGACTTGTACAAAGATGGCCGTTTATAAATATACATCATCAACAAGTGATTCGTTCTGATGCTACGATGCTAATGACTAAACCTGCTTCCATCTTCGATCACACGATGATTACGAATACTGATGAGTAGTCGAGGCCGCTTATGATAGGCATCCCTTAGGCGTTCTTCTCATTTACGGGGTGATCTGAACATCGTCGCTAACAATAAAATGTCTATGTCTATGTCATTTATCCGTGTTTGACTTTAAAGATTGTTGGCGGATACTTTTTAGTGATTTATGAATGAATCACGGTGTCTATTCACTTGTATTCAGTTTGAGATTATGTATAATGTGTCTTTCGATCTTGGGCAAGTTTGTTTGTATGTCCGCTGTTTTTTTTTATCATAATTATATTCTGAGAATGTTCCCATTATTTAATAGGAGAGGAAAGGAAATCACAAAAAAATATTGCTCTGGTGGTGATGTGAACCTATATAATCTCTTGTGATTGAGTTTTTCCGCCTTTTCCAACCTTAATGGGCCTGTTCGTTTGAACTGCTGAACTTGCTAAAGTTGATTTTTTTCCATAGTTGTTTCTGTTCATGGCATGATGTAAACAGAGAGAGTCATAGAAAAAAATCAAGTCCAGCAGGTTGAGCAAGCACAAACGAACAGGCATATAAAGAATATTGCAGTAAGAGCGAGGATGTAAGTTATGTTTCAAATCATCCACGGCCGGCCCACTACAATTTACGCACTGCGCATACTCGTCAACCAACTTTTCCAAGCCGATCACGTGGCATGCGTCAGTTTAATTGAGCATCGTCCTTCCATTTGTTGTTCATAGGTCAGGTTAGATTGCATACTTATAATATTCGTGGCCGGTTCCTAAGGCCCTGGAAAGACCGAAATCGCTAATTTTCGCCTGCACCTGGCTCGCCAATAGGATGTTCCTCGCTGCTAAGTCCCTGTGCACGAATCTGTTCTCTTCTAGGTACTGCATCCCTGAAAAAAAAGCGGGAAATTCAAATAACATCGAGATCATAGAATTGTACAAACCCAGGCAACCAGATGACGTTTCAGTGACGTCTTATTACGTCAGTTGAATGACCAAGGTGACGTTAAGAGTTGACGTCGTATGAAGTGATAAATGACGTGAATATGTCACGTCATATTACTCAAGTTTATTGACGTAATTCGATCACCAAACTGTGACGTCGGACTGAAATCAGTTACTCGTATTTGTATCAAAAATTAAGTAGATTGTGTCGGCGAGATGTAAGCAAACCAAGAATAGTTTGATAGCAATGAAAAAGATGTTGGCGAATTCAGCTTCACTTTGTTGAGTAACATATATTCATGCATTATTTGTCACCCAACAAAAATCAAAATAGCAAATTATTGAAAAATTTTCTGAATGACGAAGCTGACCAAATTGGTAAGTCACGCCGAAGTGATTTTTAGAAGTCATAGATACGTCACTGCAACGTCATAAAAGTTACGGTTCCAATATAGGAACATAATAATATATAATAATATACATATATAGCTTGATTGTTTCCGACATATACAGGGTGTCAAAGTTTTAAAAAAGTTTTCTCTTACTTTTTGGATATACTTATATAATTACGATAAAAGTCGCATGTTGATTTGTTTTAATGAGTTATACATCTATCGACGTTAGAAGCATATATATAAAATCACCAAGACGTACATTCTATAAATGTGTGTAAAATCAATGAAAAAACTATATTTTCTAAAAACTTCTCGACACTGAAAATGCCCATCCTGTATATATAGGTACGTCACAAACCTAACGGTTTGGGAAATATGGACATCGACAGGACGTTCTCGCAACGTCATGAAACTGACGTCTTATTTTACCCTTCTTAGTGACGTTCACTCGACGTCGAGATGATGACGTGATTATCACGTCATAGAAAGTACGTCATAGTGACGTCATAAATCTGTGTGTGACGTCTCTGATGAAAAATCACCAATTAGGGAAGTCACAGTGACGTGATCATTCGTCATTTGGTTGTCTGGGACTGTTGCACTTAGGCGGCGCTCATGCACCATAAATGAACAGCATGTAAACAAGTTCATTATTTTCTCAAAGGTGCTTCATTGTTCGACAATGCACATAAAATACAATTGAGAAAGATGATCGGATGACTAATGCAAACAAATTCCTATATGGGCACGGGCTCAGTCGGAAAATCACCGAACAGAGATTTGTGCGGACAGAACCATAATGAAATTATTTAGAAATGTATGCAATTTTCAATTGATAATAACTCTTCTGGGTACTGCATCCCTGAAAAACAAGTGGAGAATTCAAATAACAATGAGACCATAGATTTGTGTTCGTTAGTTCGAATCAGTCCAATATAGGAAGCAAGAAGTCGAGATTGAGGGCATTGGCAAATCCTGTTGACAGAAGAAAGTAAGTAATTTATTCAGTTAATGATGTGAAAAACGATGATTCATTATGAACATAATATTTAAAATTAAATGGTTTAACATAAATATAAATTCGGAGCGCGGGAGATGCCATCTAAGCCAGCTTGTGCTGTGGCATCACCGTTCTCGTTATAGGTTCAATTATTGGAAATAAGTGTAGAGTATTTATGAAAAGAATAATTCAAGTACTTCATGAACAAGAGTGAACATGATTGGCTTCGAAAGTTCTCAAGTATAACTTTGAGACAATCAAAGTTATTCTTCACAAGTTCTTCAGCTTCTGTTTCACCACTACACAGATATTTTTCAATTCAGAAGGTAGTTCATTAAAGAGTTTGGGACCAATATAAGTGACGAACCTCTGATTATGACGAACGAATGGGACACAATATTCTGATTAGTGATCTGGCGGGTGATATGCGAGTGAGTTCTGTACAAGGGTCTGCTTACGACCCATAGGAGGCAATGATAGGAATAGAGTTTTTCGACACTGAAAACACCAACTTTTTTCTTTAACACATTGCGTGCCAAGCCGTGATTGGGGAATGGCTATGGGGACGGTTTTCTATTATTTGTGAGTATTCTATGTTAAAATAAAGGTTAGTTTGATACGTGTTTTTTCGTAGTTTTTGGTTATGTTTTTTTGTTCTCGTTGTGTCACTCATATATGAGAGACGTGGCCCCTCGCGTGGCCCTGTAGGAGAAAAAAATGCAAATTTATCGCTGGAGGCTATGTGATTCAAATATGAGCGACGGTTTTTTCAGTATTTCTTCTGTTTCCTGGGTTCTCTATAAGGATGCCACTAAAAAGAATCTCGATACGAGCATTTCAAGATATATCAGCCGCAGACCTACTTGATTTGAAGAATTCGGACATACCACAAAGGACTGAAACGGCAAAAGCATCTACTTCATCGTATCATCCACAAATTTGTTTGACATGTTTCAATGAGATATATTAGTTTAATTTTTAGTCTGAATTTTCACCTCATTTTGTACGGAAATATAATAGTTTTGACTTTTTGTACAGCAAAAGTCTTCATGTTTCCAATTCTGCTCAAACCAAGATTCACATGGTTTTCTCCAGGGGCCACTCTCTACATTCTCCATTTAAAATGTACGGCAGCGTGATGCATTTGTGAAAGACACGCACTGATAGAGTATAATATATGTCTCTCACATATGAGGGAGGAAGCACCCTGGGATAGTTCAATGTCGCTCATACAGTGTCTTTCAAAAGTATCGGAACGGTCTCATATTTCAGGAACGGCTTGGGAAAAATTCACGAAATTCTCTACAGGGTGATTATTGATGATGTCCGATTCAATGGTGGCATCGGCAATGTTGCCAAGTTTACAGTTTTCCAGATATTAGGAGTAACTTTATTTTTTCAAATGGAATACCCCATTTATTTATTTTTTTTTTTTTTTATCGCTTGGAGCGCACGAAAGGGAATCCCTATAATGTTCAAAGAACATCGTGCGTTCCTAGGGAGGATAGGGACAGGAGGTAGGTATTGGAATTTTTCTTGAACTTTTGGAGATTATATGTTGTTGGGAATACTTCCACAGGCAATGAATTCCAGAGCCTAGCCGTTCTATGGATGAAGGAGTCTTGATAAAGTGCTGTTCGACATCTTTCGAGGTTGACAACGAAAGGATGTGCTGACTGGGCTTGTCTAGTTCGTCTGAATGGTATTGCTAGTGAAGGGATGATAGCAGAGATTTCCGAAGAACATTTCCCGTGGAAGTATCGATAGAAAAGTGAAAGGTCGCCGACCTTTCTACGGTGTTCCAATGATGTCAAAGAGTGAGTGAGTGTGGCGTCACCCACCAGGCGAATGGCTCTTCTCTGGATGGAATCTAAGAGCATCAGCGTATGCTTTGGTGCTGAACCCCATATGTGGGAACAGTATTCTAGAACAGGCCGTATCTGCGCTTTGTAGATCATGAGAAGCTGTTGAGGTGTAAAGTAGCTTTTCGCACGGAACAAGAATCCGAGTTTTTGTGAAGCAGCTTTTGCGATGGATCTGACATGATAATCCCATGAAAGAGTGTTGCTGATGGAAATACCGAGCATATATATGGTGGGCTTGGTGGGGATGGTGGAGCCAGACATCACAATATCGGGCATACTGAGTTCCGCCTTTCTAGAGAAAATGCAGGCTTGAGTTTTGATGGCGTTGAATTCAACTAGGTTGTTGTTGCAATTAATTGAGCGCCTCCTAATCACTTGAGTCCCTGAATATCAGATTCGTAATTAACGTGATTTTCGAAATATGACAACATAGCATTTTCGTTAAAGAGTTCTAGAACGGTCCCATATTTCAGAAACGGCTCAGAGAAAATTTATGAAAACTTCGACAGGATGGTTGTTGATGATGCCCGATCCAATGGTGATATCGGCAATGTTGCCAAATCAACAGTTTTTCAGATATTGAGGGTAACTCAATTTTTCAAATAGAATACCCTATTGTGTTTTAATGCTAACCAATGTGCCATCTGACGGCATATATCACGTGATCATCAAGTGTGATTATTTAGTAGTAAAATCGAAGGTTATAACAATTGTTCATTCAATTATGTGATTGATTATCATATGATTATTCGTTTATACAACTGAATATGGTAGAAACATATCTCCGAAGTTGTTCTGGCGAAATCAATATTTTGACACATCACACTTGGCGTCAAAAACATATCATTTTTGACAGAATGACAGCGCGGGAAAATGAAGGTTTAAAACCCAATTTGTTTTCATTGCAATACATTCAGCGACGCCTCATTACTTATGTCTTCAAATATCAAATTTTAAATAAGTGTGGTTTTTAGAATATGAGAACATGCTCCGCGAACGCTCCAATATTTTCAATTATTAAAAAGTTCTTTTATCAAAAACCATTCTGTATAACATTTCATGATATTTTCTCGAGCCCTTATGAAAATAGTGGACCGTTTGCAGACATTTCAACGGAGCATGTTCTCATATTTAAAAAAACACACTTATTTAAAATTTGAAATTTGAAGACATAAGTAATGTGGCGTCGCTGAATGTATTGCAATGAAAACAAATAGGGTATTCCATTTAAAAAAATTGAGTTACCCTCAATATCTGAAAAACTGTTGATTTGGCAACATTGCCGATAACACCATTGAATCGGGCATCATCAGAAACTACCTTGTATAAAATTTCATGAATTTTCCTTGAACCGTCTTGAAAATATTAGAAGGTTCCCAGACTTCTGAACGAAAATGCCATGTTGTCATATTTCGAAAACCACTTCAATTTAAAATCTGATATTTGGAGACATGCGTAATGAGGCGTCGCTGAATGTATTGCAATGAAAACAAATAGGGTATTCCGTTTGAAAAAATTGAGTTACCCTAAATATCTGAAAAACTGTTGATTTGGTAACATTGCCGATATCACCATTGAATCGGGCATCATCAACAACCATCCTGTCGAAGTTTTCATAAATTTTCTCTGAGCCGTTTCTGAAATATGGGACCGTTCCAGAACTTTTCAACGAAAATGCTATGTTGTCATATTTCGAAAATCACGTTAATTACGAATCTGATATTCAGGGACTCAAGTAATTAGGAGGCGCTCAATTAATTGCAATAAAAATAAATGGGGTATCCCATTTGAAAAAATAAAGTTATTCCTAATATCTGAAAAACTGTAAACTTGGCAACATTGCCGATGACACCATTGAATCGGACATCATCAATAATCACCCTGTAGAAAATTTCGTGAATTTTTCTCAAGCCGTTCCTGAAATATGAGACCGTTCCGATACTTTTGAAAGACACTGTATATGAGAGACATGGCACGCGTTGTGTTGAGAGGACTTTAAGTAGGGTATTTTGGATTGTTACCACGTTCCACAAAGTTGTTTTGAATGTTCCGACCCAGACAACAATACAGTAGCGAATGATGGATTCAGATAAGGAACTATACAGGCTGATTTTAATATGAGTGCATATATTCAAGACATATATATGAGAGAGTCTAACAAAAATTACTAAAATATTTGATTTTTCCTAAGTCTTCACATTAACGAGAAATTTCATTTTGGAAATTGAACATAAAATGCTTAGAAATTCGAGTACGCCACTGAGAAGCAAGTGAAATCTGCGGAATCCCAGGGAATCCCCAATTCGTTATTCACTAACGTCAAAACAAGACAGTGATGCCAGATTTGTTTCAGAGACGAATATCCTGATAAAAATTTGTCACAGAATGAATATGAATTGGAATAGGTTATGGAAACTAATAGATGTGAATGTAATATGTACAGGAGCCTTATTTTTTAATGTTTACTGAGAGAACTGTGGGGTGATTATCTCCATGAATCACGAGAGACGGAGAGAAACATGAGGAGAATGATAGAACGTCCCCCTTCCTTCAATCCGAAAATAAGGCCCCAGCGGGTAGATACAAAATTAGCAGACAATAAATAGGTACACAACATACACAACGTTGAAAATCGACTCACCTAGTAGATTTTCTCATACCTGCTCGAACAGCAAAACTCCCGAGAGCAAACAAATACTAATATCGAGTCCATTCCAGACTAATATCGTCCTGTGTTCTTGTTGGTTCATATTCGCACTTAAACCATCGAAAACGACTCGACGACGACATATCCTTCCTGGCAATCTCACATTGAAAATCACCATCACGACCATATCACGATTATCACGACACAAGACACAACATCCAATTATTTTATTTTTTATTTTACGTTCACAATTATTTTACAAACCAGCAACCACACAAACAAAACTATTATCATATGATCTGTCAACATCATTTCTCAGAACAGTAGTATCTGTGACCATAGATTTCCTCTTTGCTGTTGACCTTTGACAGTACTAACTAGGATTGTTCGCGTTCAGAAACTAAACAATCCGAAACCGTCAGAAGCATGCACAAGTCCACAGAACCCAAAAAAATCATACAGTTCTGTGAAACTGCGCATGCTTCTGACCGTTTCGGACGCAAGAATTCAGATGACCATGAATTACTAATAGGTGATTTCTAAGGATCAATCAGAAACAGCAAAGTAGCGCCTGCGTGGTTGTGATTCATCCTGATTGGACACAGCTGATTTTATTTGTGAGATTAGTGCATATAGTGAGGAAGGATCATTTCATTGAATTAAACTAATAGATGTTTTTTCCAAATTAGTTTTTAATGAAAATGGTAGTTTCATTTAGAGATATGATCCTTCCTCACTAATACATTAATCTCAATCACCTGTGCCCAATCAGGATGAATCGCAACCACGCAGGCACTACTTTGCTGTTTCTGATTGGTCCGTAAAAGTCGCCTATTAGTAATTCATGGTCATCTGAATTCTTGCTGGTGGCACACCATAAGAACAATCAAAACAAAGATCCTTTCTTGACTGTTTGTTGTTCTGAGAATGTATGTTATTTTGGAAAACGTCAAAACGTGATACTAGCAAATGTAAAGTTTTGTTTCTGACAATTTGCTTGGAATGAGCTGAATGATATGGTTCTTATGTCGGGTCGTTATTGTGCGGGGCCCATGAGACTCCTCGAAGGACACGAAATTGTAGCGATGCAAGGAGGTGGAAGGAAGGGTCTAAAGGATTTTTCAGTAAAAGAACTTCCAACCGTGAGGTGTTAAGTTATACGCTATTCGAGCTTATGTGTAGAAATCTTGGGTGAGTCCATTTTAAAGTTTTTGTATTATCTTTCTGAAATTCAAGACCAGGATTAACTTCTTCCCCATGTACATTTTCTCGATTATACATTTTATTTAATATCTCCTAATTTTCATGTATAGTGGCAACGTCGCTTCGTTCATCACGGTCGACTGCGGATCGCAAACGATAGTTGTGACAGAAGTAGAAATCTGGGCGGAAAAAGGGTATTTTGCCCCAAATCTATTTTGATCCTAATAATATTTTTAATAGTGCTATTCGGTAGTATACCTCAAGCTTTCTCAGTGTTTAAAATATATGCACTTATTTTAAAATCAGCCTGTATAGATCATCATGAGAGCATTTTTATTCAGTGATGTCCAATGAACCTAAAAAGAAAAAATCTTACCACAAGCGATCTGCGCCGCCCATATCTTGAACTCATAGTTCGGGTTCATCCTGTCCCTGTTGTTGTCGATGTACTGAAGAATAGAGCCCAGCGGGACAAGCTCTTGGACCATCAGCAGAGAGGGGCCTTGCGATAGCCCGATCAGCTTCACCACGCAGTGGTGGTTCAGCTTCATCATGACCTGGGCCTCGCTGAGGAAGGCACCTCGGTTCATCTCCATTTGTTCGTTGTGCAGGATCTTGATGGCGACGTTGAGCAGCTCACCGTTCTTGTTCAGGTAAGTGCCTGCGATCAGTTTTAGAGAAGTTATGATAGGCAATAACACTAATTTCTAGATATAAAATTCAAAGAACTGAGGAAACACCCGTTTATAGATAGGCAAACTAAAGAGAAGTAGAAAATAAAATGATAAGTGTGTTGATAAATACACAACATAGGAAATATTAGCACTTCCGTAATCTGTATATTCAACTATTTTTTTGATCTAATACACATTTATTCATTGTTTTATTCGATCATATCCTTATTGATGTGAATCCCCTTCCCAAAGTTGATACATTTATTGAGAGGGTTCGTTTTTGTGGGCTCGATGTATATATTTCTTTGGTTTCTTGTCTCACAGGAATTGACTTTCATGGTTTAATTCAATTTGTGAATTACATTTCAATTCAGATTTGTAAAAATACCAGTTTGCTGATAAACCTGTTTTGTTGGTGTTCTGAATTCGATATTGAATAAAATGAATAACACTTTCAAGATTTTATTTTGAAGTTTTTCTACTTTCTCAAATAGTGTACGTCCACAACTACTAATAATTTTAGTTCGACTAACTACAAAAGCGTGTTTTTCAGTTTTTTTTTATATTTTATGTAAGTACCCAATTTTGACGCAAGAATCATAATCTCCGACCCTGAAAACCCCAGATACAAATTTTGAATAGAATCGGATCATAATTACAAAAATGTTTCGCCATATTGGATCGGCTATCTTGAATTTTCCAATTTTGACGAAAGAATCATAATCTCCGACCCCGAAAACCCACAGAACAATATTAAATGATATCAGATCATAATACCATTGTGCACCTAAAAATATTAGCAGTAATGTAATGCCTAGTCTGTTATGATAATGTTTATTTAATAGATATAAGAATAGTTTTGGTTCTCTGTGATAACTTGAAACTCCAACGATGCTCCAACTGTATAACTTTAACTCCAACATAAATAACATTAGTATTATCTCAGAAACCCATAACTTGTACCTGCTAATAAATTATTATATTATATTATAATAACAAAACTTGTCCGCCACCTCGAATTTCTATATTTTGACTAGAGTCACAATCTCCGACCCCAAAAACCCCCAGATACCAAATTCGAGTAGAATCGGATCGTAATTACAAAACGTCCGTCATATTGGATCTGCCCTCTTGAATTTTCCAATTTTGACGAAAGAATCATAATCTCCGACCCCGAAAACCCACAGATAACAATTTTAAATGATATCAGATCATAATAACAAAACTCGTCCGCCACCTTGAATTTCTATATTTTGACGAGTCACAATCTCCAACCCCGAAAACCCCCAGATGCCAAATTCAAGTAAAATCGGATCATAATTACAAAACGTCCGTCATATTGGATCCGCCCTCTTGAATTTCCCAGTTTTGACGAAAGAATTATAATCTCCGACCCCGAAAACCACCAGATAACAATTTTGAATAGAATCGGATCAGAATTACAAAACTCGTCCACCATATTGGATCCGCCATCTAGAACTTCTAGATTTTGACGAAAGAATCATAATATCCGACCCCGAAACCCCCAGATGACAATTTTGAATAGAATCGGAATGACGTCTCAAAGGCGTCCTCAAGACGTAGATGCAAGACGTTCTGTACTTCTTGAAGACGTCCTGTTAAATCTCAAAGACGTCCATAAGACGTCTTCAAAACGTCTGTTGTTACCAAATCGGACGTCTTGAAGATGTCAGTACGTCCAACCGAACATAAACTGGACGTCCTTAAGACGTTCTTTAAATGTATGGTTCATGTCCCATATGGACCTCACTAGAACATGTCTTAAGCATTGAAAATATTCTTGGACAAGAAAGATAGAGTAATTTTATATACTACTCTGATTACGACTCCAATGTCACGAAGAGAACACGAATATAAATGACTTTATTTGATTCCAATATTTCGATTATTTCAATTATTTTTGAGTACAAAGGCTTTACGGATGAAACAATCCTGTAGGTACTTCTCAAAGATAGATACGTCTATGCCTGGACGTCTTTGATACGTTCTACAGCAGACGTATTGAAGACGTCCATTCTTGGACATCTCTGAGATCTTACTGATACAGACGTCTCAAAGAGGTCCATTTTATGCCTGTGGAAATTTATTAGCAAAGATTCAAATTCAGTGTTCTTACTGAAATTGTTAGCAATAACTATTCTTTTTATATCAAAATTCAATATAGTGCCTTTTTCACAAAAATATTTAGTTTACTGATTAAATATTTCTGGACTATGATAAGACATCTTTAGGACGTCCCTTTCTGGACGTCTCTGAGACGTCCTGACATAGAAATCTCTAAGACGTCAATTTCATGCCTGTGGACGTTCAGGCATTATATGGACATAAAATGGACTTCTTTAAGATGTCCGGTGCTGTGTGAGGCGTTGACAGAAAAAAACGTCTTATCCATTTGTTCTTGTCATCAGTGTTCCAACATAAAATAATGAAAATGTTATATTGGCACAACACTGGAAATGAAAAGAAATGGAGAAGAGGACCATTCTAACCTTTTTTATATTGAGGTTACAATGATCTTCTTCTCCATTTTTTCCCATTTTCAATGTAACCAACATAACATCTCCATTGTTTTACGTTGGTACACTGAATACAAGGACAGATGGGCAAAATATTTTTTCCCTCTCAACGCTAGCTGCACTGCATTATTACAAGACTTGTTGAAATTAACCAATTTTGACCTAACCTATTGAAAAATGTCATGAGGAAGGTACTCCAATGTCATTCAATGCAGTTTTTGAATGTTTCAATTATCTAGTCAAATAAGCGAGCAATTGCCTGCATACGATAACTTGGGACAACCGGTATTTGACTGACTATAATTACTAATCTCTTATTATCTTCAACCATTCTGTCCGCGATTCATCATACTCGTAATCACCAACCACCATCCGCTTATGAAATATACTGTGTGTATAAGACGTGCTACATCAACCTACTCGATTAGTAATCATATGTCAGCTTTAAATTGGTGAAATTGGCAATAGGGGTAAAACCGATATTAGTGACATACTAGTAATACTACATCAATGAATATCAAATCATCTCGATAGTTCACACGTTCACAGATGGATCGATTCAAAAAATGATAAATATGTATTTGATATAACCTTGAAATAAAACAGCTGGCAACACAGGAAAAGGTATTATGATATCAGTACTCGATAATTGATAATTTATTTATTCATATAAAATCACAATAATTGTACACTCGTCACAGATACACTATACAATTGAAACTACAGGCACTACAATAAAATGAAAGTAGAAAAGGACAAAAGAGGACACACGAGAATAAATCCATGGTTTAAATAATGATGGAAGTAAGATATGGTGTAATTACTGATGCTCGAGAACAGTGAGAGCAATGGTTCCGTCGATCTTCTAATAGATGGCGACATTGCACAATTATGATATCTCTCAGTTTTGAAATTATCGCAGATTTTTCGAATTCAGAGTTGAATAATCCCACTGTTACATATGTTCCGCGTACCTAAAATGCAATTTGCCATTTTATTTTCACTCGTCACAGCAGCAATAGCAGCATCACCATCTAGCGGGAAAATGTAGAATCAACGTCTCGCTCGTCGTGACGTAGAGAAATCATTGTAGGCGGTCGAGTGATTTTTCTGAAATTTTCAATACGTAATAATGGCCGAATGCGCGCACCATATCTTACTTCCATCATTTTTGTGACTAAAGTTTCCCCAGACTATTAGTCCGTAAGTTAATAGTATACTATGAAACAAGGAGAAATACTAGTACCGTACTACATATGGATCAGATAAGATATTATTATCAACAGCTTTCTCCTAAATCCTAACTTCAGTTCTATGATTTTCAGTTTCAGATCTACCTACTTATTTGCAAGCCTAAGATTTTGAAAATTCAAACTTACATACGAAAAGAGGATACCTGTCTATTCTTTACTCCGCAAATACTGCATTTCGTTCCACTAGACATGGTTAAAAAAGTTCAGTCCATGAAAAATAAATGAAACCACAAACCCTAAAGAATTGTACAACTAAAAACGCATATATTGGAATTTCAATCATATACGCGCTAAAACCAATTTAAAAATTTCAAATTCGTAGCCATATTGGTTTAACAAGTTTCGTATTATTTTTCCCAACGTCGGCATCAACGCCTATTGGCCGATTTCGTTGCCTATAGAGACAGAAGTTGGTCCAGCTTTGAGGAAAGCTATGCTTCATATATGAGTCGATATATGCCCTCAACTAAGAAGAAATAACGTTTATAGGTTAAAAATCTGCTGCATATAAAACGCATCAAAAATTACTCACGACAGTCAAGGGCAGTTCTTGCCCAGAGGCTCGTAGTGCTTTGGACCGATTCGGAACTATTCCAAACTAGTCCGTATAAAACGAAAGTACGTGATCTGTGAAATTCGAAATAGTCCCGAGAAAACGCGAACAGTTCTTTGTCACTGCGCATGCTTCTCATGGTTTCGGACTGTTAATTCTGTAAACGCGAACAAACCTCATATTAATTATAAACATCTCAGCACTGTAGTATACTCTGATTCCTGTGTCATAACTGTCAATGGGTAAAAATAAAACGATATCCTCTCTTATGGCTAACATTTTATTATTTTTTTCACAATAATAAAATATCTACAGTCTAAATATCAGAAATAAAGAATACATCAAAATACCAAGATTGTATAGTTTAAAACATAACATACACCATCGCTGTTATTGAAATATGCTGTATGACAAATAACAAACACAGCGGACATACAAACAAACTCTTCAAGATTGATGATGAAACAGAACAACACTAGCAAAAACACTTTATGCACAATACACTAAACACAAACAACGTTAAAATGGCTGACGAACTATCGAGTATACAGGCTGATTCACGGTGGATGGCACATTAGACGTTTCTGGAGAACGCAACGTAGGATTATACTGAAAATTCGATTTCTTGGATAATTATTTGTGTT